TCTAGAAGGAAAATACCTGGTGTAATAAAGGCCATATATGACAAACCCACAGCTAACATCATACTTAACTGTGAAAAACTGAAATCTATCCTTCTAAGAAGAGGAACAATAGAAGGATGCCGACTTTTGCCAATTTTATTCAACATAGTATTGGAAGTCCTAGCCAGAGCAATTAGGCAAGAAAAAGAAATAAAAGGGATCCAAATTGGAAAGGAAGAGGGATTTTTCTTCAAACAGTGGATTATTTAGTATGTTTCTTTTTTTAAATTTTCAAAATTTCTGAGTATTTTCTATCTATGTTTTTAACTGATCTCTAGCTTAAATTCTCACTATCTACTGCATTTGATTTTAATCCTTTGAAATTTGTTGAGACTTGTTTTAGGGTCTATTATGTGGTTAATTTTTAGAAATGTTCTGTGTGTGCTTGAAAGAATGTCTGTTTTACATTTGTTGTATGCAGAGTTCTGTGTATGTCTGTTGGATCAAGTTTATTCATCAGAGATTGTTCAAATCTTCTAGATCCTTACTAATTTTTTGTCTGCTTGATCTATTAGTTAATGAGAGAGATGTGTTAAAATCTCTCACTAGGGGCGAGCCCTGTGGTGTAGCGGTTAAGTGCACGTGCTCCGCTGCTGGCGGCCCAGGTTCGGATCCCGGGTGCGCACTGACGCACCACTTGTCAGGCCATGCTGTGGCAGCGTTCCACATAAAGTGGAGGAAGATCAGTATGGATGTTAGCTCAGGGCCAGTCTTCCTCGGCAAAAAGAGGAGGATTGGCGTGGATGTTAGCTCAGGGCTGACCTTCCTCAAAAAAAAAACAAACCAAAACCTCCCACTATGTTTGCGATGTTCTGTCTGTTTTTCCTTATATTCTGTAGGGTTTTGCCATATATACACACACACACATTTTTATGAATCCATGGTATTAGTTACATATAGATTTACATTTATTATATCTTCCTGATCATTTGAATCTCTTGTATTTACAAAGTGAGTCTCTTGATCTCCTTTTGTGGTAAAGTCTATTTTATTTTATTTTAATAACGTCACCTTTTTTTGAGTTAGTATATTTTTTTTTTTTGAGGAAGATTTGCCCTGTGCTAACATCTGTTGCCAGTCTTCCTCTTTTTCTTTTTCTCTCCAAAGCCCCAGTACATAGTTGTGTGTCATAGTTGTAGAGTTGTAGCTCTTCCATGTGGGACGCCGCCTCAGGGTGGCTTGATGAGCGGCGAGTAGGTCTGCGCCCAGGATCTGAACTGGCAAACCCCAGGCTGCCAAAGTGGAATGCACCAACTTAACTACTACACCACCAGGCTGGTCCCTGTATTTTTTTTATACTCTTATTTTCAATATTTCTATATACTTATATTAGTAAGTGTCTTTTGTAAGCATCATTTGTTTAAATTTTATTTATAAACCTTTCTTTTTTATTGTTGTTGTTGTTGAGGAAGATTGGCCCTGAGCTAACATTCCTTGCCAATCTTCCTCTTTTTGCTGAGGAAGAGTATCCCTGAGCTAACATCCGTGCCCATCTTCCTCTATTTTGTGTATGGGATGCCATCACAGCATGGCTTGATGAGCGATGCTTTGGTCCACACCAGGGATTGGAACCTGTGAACCCTGGGCTACTGAAGTGGACCATGTGAACTTAACCACCATGTCACTGGGCCAACCCCTAAACCTTTCTTTTTTTTTTTTTTTTGTGAGGAAGACCAGCCCTGAGCTAACATCCATGCCAATCCTCCTCTTTTTTT